AAAAGGAGAGAACCTATGAGCAAGATGGAGAGGTAGTCACACATTATAATTTACGCATTCTCTTGTCTAGGCCTCTGGGGAGGAAACTAAAACCATTATGAAAGAAACAATGTGGAGAACATTGCAAGCTTTTTGGTAAACAAAACTGTCTACTGCAGCACTGAGATGATTTAGTTAAGAGTAGATTGAAAAACCATCAACTACATTTCCTTGAAATCAGAAATAAATCCCCAAATATCTGGAGGCGCTTCTGAGCCATGCTTTTGTGAGTGCTTATATGTGGAAAGGGAAACTGGCAGGAGAGATCACTTCAGTGTGATTGCCTCCCCTGCCCATGGTCTCTCTGTGCCTGTCCATGAACAATGAGGCACTCCCTCCCTCCACATTGTATTGGCATCCTGGCTCCTATCTGCTTTCCCTTTGCTACTGCAAAGTAACCCACCCCCACACTACTGATGATTGATTTGTCCACTGGCAGCTGCAGAGAGAGATGCAGGAAAAACAGTTTGACACTGTCCTACATAGCTAAGTGATTAGGCACAGAGAACCATGTGTGTTTGTGTTTGTGTGTGTCTGTGTTTATCTGTGAGTGTGTCTGTGTCTCTCTATGTGTATATATCCTTGTGTGTCTGTTTGTGTCTCTCTCTGTGTATATATCTATGTATATCTCTCTGTGTGTGTATCTGTGTGTGTATGTGTATGTATGCATTATATCTCAGTGGTTCCTTGCACTCAGACAGTAACGGCCAGGTAAAGTTCTCTTTGGTTCAGTCAGTGATGTTTTACTGGTCTGTGTAGTGATTCTTGTACTTTATTTGTGGCTGTCTGAACATGTTTTGTTTGCATTTTGTAAAGATTAGTGTTTTTTTAGTAATAAGTCCAAGTCTCTGTGAAATACTGTCCCATTATTTATAAAATTATGGCTTTGAATTTGGGTGATGTGAATGAATTCCTGAAAAAAAGTAAAAAAATAAAAATAAAAAAAACAAAACAAAAAACAAAACAAACAAACAAACAAAAAAAAAACAATGCTGCTTTTGGCTGTGCCTAAAACAGTCCTGGAAGGAGTCTGTGTCCACAGAGCCTGATGGAACAGTTGAGATTTCAGTGTTGTGGAGAGACTGGAAGTTTGCACCTTCAAAGGGTAATTACCTATGTTGGGTTAGTGGAAGCTTCTGGAACGGCCATTCCTCACCCCACTCTCTCTATGACTATCATTTCATAAAAAAACCTCTTAGATCAGAGGTTCTCAGCCTTCCTAAGGCTGTGACCCTTTAGTACAGTTTCTCATGTTTTGTTACTACTTTGTAACTGTTATTTTGCTACTGTTATGAATCATAATATAAATATTTGTGTTTTCCAATGGTCTTAGGTGACCCCTGTGAAAGAGTCAATCAACTGCAGAGGTTCACAGCCCACAGGCTGAAAAGCACTGTCTTAGCAGAACCCTAAGAGAGTCATCAGAGAGCATCTCAGGCCTATAGAGTAGCTCCCCAATGTCAAGTGTACGGCCTCTCTGCTATATTCACAGATGCATTTTTAAATTGCCTTGATTTATGAATTTCTTTGTTCTCTAACTATAAAAAATATGTAATTGTTTCTGCATTGAAACAGGGAATTTGGGGTAAACTAAATCTACATTCTCTGGTCATGGTCACTCAGAACGGTTACAGAATAAATTGTTTCTTATTCCCTTTAAGATGAGAGCTGTGGTTTAACGGTGACCAGGGCAGAGTCTTGCCTCATTAACTTCTTTGTTATCTTAATACACAGTGGTCATCATTCAGCTATCCAACCCTTAGTCTCCTCACTGTGTAAATTGAGATTAACATTAGTTATTCTCAGAGGAGACCAAACAGCACATTCCAGCAACAACAAGGGAACAGCACAACTAAGTTTCTTGCTTCTGTTTTCCAAGGTCAAGATATTGTGTGATGTGTGTCTATGTGTGTGCCCAAAGAGAAGAGGTTCAATGTGTGTTTATTGATTGAGCCTTGCACAAAACAATACATGTATATAGACTGATAGGTGGATAAATTAGAAAAATATTGGAGCCATATAAAGCCAAGATTTTTCTCCTCTTTAAAGCATAGTAAATTCACATCTGAATCTCAGCTTGCATTCTACATATCTGAGAACTTGCAGCCTGTGAAATCTTCTGCTATTGAAGCAGATAGCTGCCTAAGTCAATGAAAATGTCACTGTAAAATTGTTTAACAGAATTCACAATTACAGAAGGACAAACACACCAGAGAGACTAATGGAGGGTCTAAATTTGATATGTGGAGACAGAGAGTTGAGTCCGACTCAGCATCATATATTGTTCCACAGAGAAGGTAGGTGACAAAGAGAGAAATAGGGCAGTGATAACATACCTGCCGTTGGCTTAGTTAAGACAACTGTCCATGTTACCAATGGCACTAAGCACCATTTTCTACTCAGAAGCCTCATTAGCTCTCCGAGGTACAGGTACAGCACTTTCTCCCAGCTTGCTCTCGAATCAGGGATCAGTATTCTTTCCTCTTATTCACTGGCCCTCTCTGAATTCATTCTTCCATCCAATCCTCCAGACTAATTCATTGTTATGATCTTAACAGAACCACTTCTGCACATGCAACTCAAAGAACCATACAGTGAATGCAAATTTCTCCATTAGTTAATTGTCAATTATAAACACTGGTGTCCCTTATTCACAGAATGTGAGTTCAGAGGTCCCCATGGGACGTTCTGAGATTTATGTATATTGCTTTTCTAGATACTCATGCCTGTGATGAGGTTCGCTTTACCTCATAAACTAAATGCATTGTGTAATTAGATAATAAAATACATCAATTACAACAAGCCGTAATAAAACTTAGTCTAACCTTGAGAATCATTTCTAGAATTTGCCATGTAATGTTTCCAGACCAAAGTTGACTGTGGCTAACTAAAACCTAAGAAAGGGAAAGCATACCAAAACAGAGCCCAGTTCATGGATAATGAACAGTCCCATTGGAAACTGATCACAAACCCAGCCTGCTGGAGCACGTGAGTCTTTCCCATTTGGACTGAGAACAGAATATATTGAAATATTCACTGCAACTGGTAGTTCTGAAGTGAATATACCACAAAACTTTACATTTTAAAAGATTGTTTTATTTTTTATTTTTGTTTATGTGTGTCTGTGTGACACATGTATCCAGTTGCCCATGTCTTATGTGTGGATGCCCTTGGTGGCCAGAAGAGGGTGTCAGATCCTCTGGAGCTGGAGTTACAGGTGGTTGTGAGCTGCCTGATATGGGTGCTGGGAATGGAATTTGACTCTTCTGTAAGAACAATGAGAGCTCAGTTCTTGCTGCTGAGCCATCTTTCTGGCTCAAACATTTATAGCTGAATAAGGTGGCCTTCCTTCCTTCCTTCCTTCCTTCCTTCCTTCCTTCCTTCCTTCCTTCCTTCTTTCTTTCTTTCTTTCTTTCTTCCTTTCTTTTTCTTTCTGTTTTCTGAGACAGTGTTTCTCTGTGTAACCTTGGCTGTTCTGGACTTGCTGTGTAGACCAGGATGGCCTTGAACTCACAGGGATCTGCTTGTCTCTGCCTCCCCTAGAGCTGGGATTACAGGCATGCTGCCCCATGCCAGACTACATTCAGATTTCTTAATATTTATGGCTCTAGATGAAAGTGTATATTTTTGACAGAGGAGAAGCAAATGGATTTAAGTAAACTTTCTAAGATTTTTGTCTTTCCCCATAAACAGTGCGTTTATATATGGCTTTACCTACATCTCTGTTCTCACTTCTTTGTGGGATTGTGAGTTGCTGGAAAAAAGTGCAATTGAATTTGGAATATGATAGTATTAAAAATAACTATTTAATGAGGAGGTAGGAAGCTTCTATTTACTATTTTAATGAGCTGCATAGGTGGGTACATCTTAGTAGAATATGAAAATGATGGGATATTGACTACAAAGACCAGGATTACAGAGAGGATCTTTACTCAGTGGCTTTGTAATTGTAGGACAATTTCTCTCAGGAGCTGTCATGTGATACTTTACTTAGCAGAGACAATAAAAACTACCCTTGAGTATTTCTGAAGTCAGCCAAATATTCCCACAGTAGTCTGCTTGAAATTTAATACTTTAACAAAGTTAAGATGAGATCCAGATACCTTCTCTTGACCTTATCTCTGTAACGTGGCCTCCAGCACACCCCCTGTGATTACCATGGTCTCCTGCCCTGTCAGGTCTCTATGTGTGTAATTAGTTCTCTAGACTGTGCTCTGCCTCTGTCCTATCTGTATCATTTCACTCGGGACTCTGGCTCAGCATTACCATCCTTCAGAGTCTTTGATATAGAGCTTATGTAAATGATGCTCACTTTTTCATGGTTCTTCTTCTTTCATTGTTCTATAATACTCACTGACGATTCAAATTATACAGTATTTTTTTCGTCATTGTCTGACTTCTTGTCAGATTTTGTCCACAGTCTTGGTCCAGCCATCTCATCATTCAGAACAAAGTCTGAGGCATAATTTGTGTTTAATATATATTTCTTCGGGTAATTTATAAGACAGAAGATTAGAGAACAGAGTTGCATCTCTCCTCTCTCCCTAGGAAGCAATCTTCAGAGTGTTCTATGTGAAAACTTTAATTAAACATTGTAATAAACCTGCAGTTATTTTCCAGGGATTGATCCCAGAACCTTGTATGTGTTAGGCGATACTCTACCACTGAGCTACAGCCTAATCCTTCTATTGTGGAGGCTGAGCTGCAGGAATCCAGAGCACTGCTCACAGTCACTACCCAACCCTCTTGCATCCAGACATCTTTATGTTAATTGGTGTTTGACTTCATGGCTATATACTGAAACAAACACTGTATAAAAGCACATTCATACAGCTCAATTTTACAGTCAAAGTAAATGAACATGTCCATTCACTCACAGCATCTGCAAAGCCAGTGTTTCAAACAACCAAGCACAATTAGAAAAGGCAGGTAACATTTTTTTTCTTCTCTGTGGGAGAGGCAAGACTCAGCTCTGGGTGACCAGCTATCGCAGCAATGTGCAGGGCTGTGAGGCCTCCATATCCCGCTTTCTGAACATCTGCTCCACTGTGCAACAGGGAGGTGATCAGTTCCCGGCTATCCTGTAATGAAATGAGCCTGAATGTTTTCCCTGTAACGGCGGGCAGGGAAGCTGGGCACAGGGTGCTGTTGACTCCCTGGTTGTATGAAGCTTAGGTATTCAACAACAGCCTAAGTGTGACTGCTGGCAAAAGCTTGTATCAGTTAACAGAGGCTCAGACGGCTGAGATGTAGGACTAAATGTCAGAATGGAGGAGTGACCATCAGCCCTTGCCACATAACTATGAGATATGGGAAGAGGGCTTGTCTGCAACAAAGTTCTACCAATAAATTTAATCTTACTAGGGACTGGGTGCGGTGTCACACACCTTTAAACCCAGCACCTGGGAAGCAGAGGCAAGTGGCTCTCTGTGAGTTTGAGAACAACATGGTCTACAAAGCAAGTCCAGGACAGCCAGAGCTGTTACACAGAGAAACTCTGTCTAAAAAAAAAAAAAAGCAAAAAACAAAATCCAACCAACCAAAAAATGAAAATAAAACCAAGAAGGTCATGCCAGAAAATATGACTTCTCAGCAATAAGGTCAACCTCCTAAGGGGTCAGGAGCTTACAGGAAGAGTGTAAACATTTTTTCTTTTATTTTTTTAAGAATTAAGATAAAGTATTTCTTCTAAGATGAAAATATAATCAACATAGCTTAAAACACAACTCACTGGACTTTCATGGCAATTATACAATTGCTTCTTCCTAATGCAATGGCATTATGGGATATGTACAGGGTAAATCAGTATTGTCTTAACTTGGTTCAGAACATCTAAGGTTGATGTAATAGTTCATGTACTTACAAGCCCCAAATGTTGGTAGAAACAAAGTTCTCTGTGCTTAACCCTCTGTTGAAGTAAGAACTGAGACTTGGCATGCTGGTGTGTACCTGTAATGCCAGTGGTTAGGAAGCTAAGGCACAATAAATAAAGGAGTCATAGATAGATAGATAGATAGACAGACAGACAGATAGATAGATAGATAGATAGATAGATACATACATACATACATACATACATATATACATACATATATTCATACATGTATACATACATACATAACAGGACCTACAGTACTTGGCTTATGGATATATAGTGTGTCAGGAAAGAGGAATCTTTATGAGATGGATCATTTATCATTAACTAAACAATTTCAAAGCTAAATAACACAAATAAAACTCCACTGCTAACACTGAGTTAATTTTTTAACATCATCACATACATACATATGAAGGTTTAGGAAAGGTTACTTCAAAGTTTAAAATTTATACAAAGATCTTCAAATTTATGCTGCAAATCTTTGCCTCCCCCCAGCTTCTCTACCAAGAAAGAAGAATACCATGTAGATTGCAACCAAGTCTTCTAGTTTGCTTTTCTGTTGTCCAGATCAAAGTAACTGGGAGGGTTTGTTTCATCTGACTTTTCCAGGTACAGCCCATCTTTAAAGGAACCTACCTGGGAACTCATGACAGGCACCGGGAAGCAGGGAACATGGAGGAATGCTGCTTGGTGGCTTGCTCAGTGACCTTTCCTTTACTCCCCAGGCCCACTGCCCAACAGTGGACTTAGGCCTTCTCACATCAATCATCAAACAACACAGTTTCTCACAGACATGGCCGATCTGAAGGAAACAATTCTTTAGTGGAGGTTCCCTCTTCCCAAACAACTCTAAATTGTGTAGACAATAAAACAAAACAAAACAAAATTGGAACACAATGGCTCTTTGTGCTTTACCTAAAAACAAGCAAGCAAGCAAACAAACAAACAAACAAAAAAAAAAAAACAATCCAACCAGCCCCCTCTTTTTCCATTCAGAAAACACCACAACATCCCTTGATCAAGGGTAAGCTAACTTGCCTTTATTTTCTGATCTGCTGAGATGTATTAAGTACTGACAAGGGCCAGTCAGCACTCAGCCAGTGGTAGGTCTGCCCGGTGCTCCCCAGGAGGCAGCACAGATCTGATCAGGTCTGCACTGTGATTTCCTGATCTTGCTTCTGCCTTTGACCTCAGAAGGTGTCCCTTTAAGCAATTTTACAGCAGATTTTCATCTGCAGACTCTGCTTCTCCATGATCCCTATGGGCATTGCGTAGCAGGAAGCGAGCCTTGTTCATTAAGTTTAGAGTGAACCAGGGCTTGGATTTGAACTTAGGTCTATGAACAATATGCTTTTCTTGTTTGTTTGTTTGTTTGTTTGTTTTGACTTATTTAAATTTACTTTTCTTGGAACCATATCTAATTCCATACTATTAAAATTGTTAAAACCATAATTGTCTGCATTTTATTTTTATTTTTACATTAATTACATTTTATTCACTTTGAATCCCAGCTGTAGCCCCCTCTCTCATTCCCTCCCAGTTTCACCCTCATCTTCTCCCATGTCCCTAAGTCTATTGATAGGGAGGTTGTCCTCCCTCTTCCATCTGACCCAAGTTTATCAGGTCTCATCAGGACTGGCTGCAATGTCCTCCTCTGTGGCCTGGCAAGGCTTCTCTTCCCTTGGGGGGTGGTGGTTAATGAGCCAGCCAATAGGTTGATGTCAGAGACAGTCCCTGCTCCCCTTACTAGGGAACCCATTTGGATACTGAGCTGCCATGGGCTACATCTGAGCAGGGCTTCTAGGTTATATTCATGAATGGTCCTTGTTTGGAGAATCGGTCTCAGAAAAGACCACTGTGCCCGGATCTATTTGGTCCTTGTGGAGTTCCTGCCCTCTCCAGGTCTCACTAACTCCCCCTTCTTTCATATGACTCTCTGCACTCTGCCCAAAGTTTGGTTATGAGTCTCAGCATCTGCTTTGATACACTGCTAAGTAGAGTCTTTCAGAGGCCCTGTATGGTAGGATCCTGTCCATTTTCTTGTTTTCTCCTTCTTCCAATTTTCTTCCATTTTTATTTCTAAGTGAGGATTGATCATCTTACACAGGGTCCTCCTTCTTGTTTAACTTCTTTAGGTATACAAGATTTTAGTATGTTTATCCTATCATATAGGTCTAGTATCCATTTATAAGTGAGTATATACGTGTGTGTCTTTCTGCTTCTGGGATACCTCACTCCCCAGCTACCCCTAGACCCTGACTCCCAAGTCCTTTTTATGTTGTAATATGATGTAATGGGGACCACATAAGAACGCTGAACTGGGACTGGACAGGAAGTACCCCCTCTCCTGCTTCTTTATATTTCAGAAGCACAGAGTCTCAGAGTTGGTCCCCGTCATTGTTTGTGTATTATTTAACATTCATTTATTTACTCATCTGTCTTATTCCTGAACACAAGGAGGTTGTGAGTCCTAACATGGAGGACGTGCAGAGTTGAGCCAGGGAATCACATCAGATTGTGTAAGAGCGTATTGGAGACTCAGCTTGGGAGAGAAGGTACGCCAAGAAATTAAGCTATCTGATGTGAAAACTGAAAGAAGGTATTTTTGTGTTAGGGGTTTCACCAACTTGTGAGGATAAATTTTCAGTTAAATTGAGGGCCAACACTGTCTGAAAAGGTCATCATTATTTGGACATTTTGGATATGTATGCCCTCCCAATGGGATTTTCTTCCTTCTTCTACAAATAATTCCTTATTATGATCTTGACAAACTTCCATTTGGAAAAATCAATCCTTAGTCAAGTCATTTATACAAATAGAAAGACAACTTGGATTAAAAAATCAATTTAAGTTAATGAATCTTTTAATCTCTCCTCTAAATCATTGGTTCTTAATTTTCATCTTGGGATTGTATTGTGCTTTGGTTGTCAAAACCAGTAATGAGGGCAGTGACGAGGGCCATATTTAGAAAAGATGATGGGGTGGTTTAACCTGTACACAAAGTAGACATTTAACACAGACTGATTTAGCCCAAAATGCCAGTAGATCCAAGTATGAGAAGAGCCTTTGGACACTGTGGGACATTTACTCTGGGTTCTGTATCTCAGGACTGCCGAAACAAAACCCTCAAGTCTTTAATACAATACATGTGCTGAGAAAGGAGAATGGATTAGGCTATGAGTGCAGAATTCACCAAGCTTAGAATCCACTGAAGAAAACCTCAGAGGTCTCTGACAGGTCTGGTTTTGTAGAAAAAGAGCCCCTCCTCCATCTCTTTCCATTCAGTAATAAATATGTAAAAATGATTGGGGATGAGATCTTGGTAGAAATGTGTAGAATGAAATATAAATATCTCTTTCTATAACCATTTTTAACTTATGAAATGCTAAAAAAAGACTTTAATTAAAAACTACTACTCTTGAATCACTAAATAGGAGCCATGAAGTGATTTCCCTGTGCATTACATGTGACACAGGCTTTAGGGCTAAGTTAGATGGTCTAATTCAGTCTTTCATCCATTTGAATTTCCACTTATCCCCCTCTAAACCATATTAAGGCTCATTGTTTTCCCTCTGAAATCTGCACTTCATTTTAGGAGGATACAATATGAAAATATAAACATTGAATATGCAGAACTCTAGAGAAAGTTTCAGAGACGAAACTTCATTTTCCTTTTAGAGTTTGGCACACAGGGACTGATGTTGCAGCTGGGTGTACCAATTTAATGAATTTAAACACCAAACAACCAAGTTTCAAGAAATCAACCTTACAAAAATGACAAATGGCTTCAAAACATTTCCTTGAAAAAAAAAAAAAAACATACAGCACGCACTGTTAACTTTGACATCACGAAAACATGGTAGAAGTTTGACTGACTTTGTTTGCTTTATGAGGCAGGGTCTGTATCCATGGCCATACTTCTGGCTGCCAGTAGGAGGAGAGAGAAGGATAAAATTGTCATCTGAAATGACTCTTTTCTATCTCTTCTATCTCTTATTCTTATTATTTTTGTAAACCAAATTTGTAATCAAGCCATATTTGAAATCAATTTGTCAAAATATTTGCATGTGGATATATTTACAAAGAACATATTTTATATGGTATCAACTGATTATTTTGCTCAAACAAACACCTGCAAAAGAGAAGAATGCTTTTATAGAACAACAGAGGAAATATTCCAAGTACAGGCTAGAACCTCTGATGTAATTCTCATCTCTTTCAACTACCACAAACCAAATGACAGACCCATTTCTTTTTATTTTCTGTGTAAAATGGATAATACACAAGTGTCTAGTAAGTGTCTTTTGAAATTGAATTGCACAATAATAGCTAATTTTATTTAGTATTTTCTATGTAATAGTTATTTTGCTAGTACTAAATATGGTTTGTCCTTTAAAAAACCCCAAATCACCTAACAAACCAAATAATTATGTTTTCAAGCCTTTCCGCTGAGGGAAGAAGTGACCCTGGAATAAAGCCTCAGAACCTGACGCATGTTCAGCAGGCACTGTGTCAGTGAGCTGCCTCACAGTCCTCACGCTGCTTTGGACATGAGAAAACTGAAGGGCAGAGAGAAAGATCAGTTTTTTCGAGCATGCAGTAATAGCCAGCAAGTCTTAAAGCTGGCAGATGAGCATAACAAGTTTAGCTGGTAGCACTTTTGTTGTTGTTTCTTTTTTGTTTGTTTGTTTTTGTTTTTTTTTTTTTTGAGACAGGGTTTCTCTGTGTAGACTTGGCTGTCCTGGACTCACTTTGTAGACCAGGCTGGTCTTGAACTCACAGAGATCTGCCTGCCTCTGCCTCCCTGAGTGTTGGGAGTAAAGGCGGGAGCCACAACCACCAGGCTGCTGGTGGCGCTCTTAAAGCTCAGCCGCATCAAGGGCTGCATTCAGCAATATCCAGACACTTGGTAAGTCTTGGACTCTATCCAGTGCCTTTCTGGGTTCTATCTGGTGAAATTTCAAAGCGAAACCCTCAGTTCTAATGTACAGTTTCACAGAGAAATGTGTTAAACACACAAATAATCCAGAAATTGTGAGCGCTGCAATAAAAGATAATATAAAGTGTAAATTGGAATCCAACATTGAGTGCAATAAAACCTGGGAGCTCAAGAAGGCTTAAGACAGCTCAGTTTGTGTGGATTTAAAGTAACTAATAATGGTGAAATGAGAAAAGAACTAATACATTTCAGCAGAAAAATTGCAAGAAACAGAGAGAGATCTGAGAGTGCTTTGCCTAAGGAGGAAAGCAGTGCAATGCAGTTCTTCAGACGTTAGTCTGAGAATCCCTGAGTGGGATTAGAGAAACATGTGCATTGCCTGTGGTGGTTAATTGTGTATGCTAATCTGACTGCGCTCATTGCAGGCAGGTACTAAACAGCTGATGTGGACGCCTGGTGGGAAGACGGATTTTACATGGCCTTAGTGTTTAAACAGCACTGGTGACTCTGCTTGCTTTTCGATATATAAAGGACCCAGGCTGTCTCTGGATGCTGTAAAGAGAGGTTTGTATAATTTATTTCCTGAGAGCCTACCCTCCTAGGTAGAAGTTGCAGTCAGTGCACTCTTCCATAGTAGATGGAGAGAAACAGAGCGGAGATACACTAAAAATGGTAATTCGGTTTCTACTTTACACTCAGCAATGACCACATAACCACAGCGTTCAGAAAACACCTAGGAGGCAATGTCACAGTCACTCTCAGCACAGGTGTCATTACATAAAGGAACTCTAAACCCAGACAGCATGCACTGTTTCACAGACCACCTTGGCTGTCAGTCAGCACCTTCCTGTTCCTTGCAGCTTTATTGTTTCTTCTCTGCCTTTCATGTGAACAGTGATTGTCAGACACTTTCCTGAAGCTGCCTATGTTTAAGGTTAGCAGAATGAATAGCAGTTGTTACAGAGAACATAACACTTAGCCACCATTCTCCAGCAAGCTAGCAGCAGCGATCAGGCATTTCCTGGAGATGTGGAGATCAGCTATAAGGTAGGATCAGTTAAGGGAAATAAAATCTGAATCATGAGTGAGTCAGTTGTGCTTCTGGACTCAGCAGGCTGGTAGAGGCCCACTGAGAAACTGTGAGACCATGTCAGCTTATAGAAGAGTCTGTGAGGAATTGTAATTGGAGTGGGAAGACTGCCCACTGTGGGTGTCACCATTCCCTCAGAAGCAGATGCTACACTAGGAGTGAGTGGGAAAAGCAAGAGTACAAGGGTACTCTCTACTCTTGGCTGAGGATACAATGTAACCAGCTACTTCAGCTCCTGCCGCCTTGACTACCCTGCGGTGGTGAACTATAACCTCAAATTATGAGCCAAACAAACTACCTTTTGTTGCTTTTGTCAGAATGTTTGATCACAGCACTGGAAAAGAAAATACACAGTGTGAAAACACGGTCCTCTGTCCACACAATAGAAACTCTTAAGACATCTGGAGAGTGTGGGGTGCCCTTTGCCAAGCCAACAGCAGGCCCTCATACAAGGCTGCAATAAAACTGCATCACAGACTCGCATGAAACTGAGAAAGAGCAAACGTTCAATACAGTGATGAGGAACTGGAGCTGGGGTAAACTGTGACAGGTTATAATCACTATCTTATGAATAACTGCACATCTGACACTAGTCTTCATTTTTTCCTTTGCAAAACAAACACTAGCATTCTTATCTTCTGAAATTCTTTAGTGGCTAAGAAAATAAAGCATATGTGACATCTGAAATTACTCAGGGTGGCGAGAGAAAGCTGCTGAGGCTAAAGTGTCATGTTATTTACCTGTTATATACAGGTACATTTATGGCAGTTTGAGGGTCACTTCTCACAGCAGATATCCAGTGTGCCCATTTCCTTGTTTCCCAGTTTTGTGTGGACCAGTGGAAATCAGGACCCACAGTCCTTGATTCTAATGAAGTATGTTTCGGATTGAAAATAGCTAACCTTGTAAACTGCCAAGTGCAGAGCTGGAAACTCGTTCCTTGTCAGTCTGGATGAACGGAGCCCTTTTAACATAAGGGCGCGGATATGCAACTTGTTGCCTAGAGAGAAATATGAAGGCTGATTTATTGCAGGGCAGTCTAAAGGACTTCACCACTGCCCTCTGACTTAAGGATAAATGCCATTCTAGCTCATGAAAATGTCAGCCCGCTGTAGAAGCCCATTCTTAAGCATTTTTGTTCACTGGCAGTGTTACTTCACACGTACTCTTCCCATGCTTATGCAACTTTGCATGGATACCGTATATGGCAATAGATTTGACCTATGGGCTTTGTTTAATTCTTTCAACATCATAAGGCTCTGAATTTTAGGCTCTAACCAGCCTCTGACTGATGTGCATAATCTCAGCATGTGGGATATTGAGCTAGGAAGACTGCTACAAATTTGTGACTATCCTAGACTACACAGTAGATCTTGCCTCAAAGATTCCAAACAAAATAAAACAAAAGGGCATGCAGTACAAGTGAACTCATCTCAGTAAACCACTAGTAGGAAGCTGAGGTGACAATGATGCAAGATTCTACAGAGGTCTTGGAAGAGGTAGGAGGCTGGTCAGTCAGCTCCCAATAGGAAGGAGGCGATATGAAGCGAAGTCTGTTCTGGGGATTTGTAGAAGCCTAGGCAACTTTGATCCATCAGTAATACACCCATTTCTACATCCAAAAAGCTTTGCCCAGCTGGATTAGTAAATAAACAACTTTCCATTTGACTCTTCTGACTTTACTGAGCAGTACTGTGTGCTGAGACCCGCTGTACTTGGCTGTGATCTCTCTGAAATCAAAGGAAGAATAGGCTGAACGAGCCTCATGTTGATCACTTCCAGCAATCTCCCTTGTTAGATTCCATGTTCGACCTTCTTTCCTCTTCACATACCCTTGTTTCTTATAGTAAATCGACTGCCTGAAGGTATCAGGGAATGATTTAAGGGCTCCTCAATGAAACCCAATTCCTGACTGGCTGCCCCGCATTAAAAATCACTTGTTGATTTCCAAGCTGAGTTACTCTGTTTAGGAAAGAACATAAATAGAAACTCAGAGGTATGGAGCAGGGATCTGCATGGGCCACAACTCCCTGCCAAGAGAAAGAGAGGAGACAGTCTGATGGGGTCCTCCTGCTGTCTGCCCACTCTCTCACAGGGGCACAGACCTGGCTGGAGCAGAGCAGGTCCCAGGCACTTACCCCCACACATGCAGCACAGGTGAAGCAGCAACAGCCCATGCTCTGAGCAATAATTTAGACTGACTGTCGCAAAGGCTTCATCAGAGCTGAAAAAGCTTGTGACAGGTAGTCAGACCTTCATCGTGCACTATACTGCCTTCTGTTTGAGAAGCAAATGTTGGTCTATAAATTATGAATTGTATTTTGCCATATATCTTTGCTCCTGGAGGAAGAATTTTGAATCCTACATATAAAGAAGTAAAATTTTGTGAAAACCATGTTCATAGTTTAAAGGGCTCAAGTTAAGGTAAAGTTTCAAATATACACTCTGTGTTCCAGTATATTAATATAATTATATAAACATATAATCTCATTTTGCCAAACCCCCTATAAAGAAAATGTAGCCATCTAGAAGTACAATTATTTATTTCACATTCAAACATTCATAAACAAATAAGGATATTCACAAAATATAAAAAGGGAGGGAAGAAGTAAGGGAGGAAAGGAGGAAGGTTGTGCTGTATTTGATAAGAGGGTGGGAAAAGGAATATAACCCAGAAGTATGACAATTTCTGCCTGAGGCCAGGTTTCCTTGTACTCTGACTGGGTCAGTTCCCTTAGATCACGGAGGCCCTAGGCCTGGGGATGCTGTGATATGGTAGCTGGTGAGGAGACCAACATGGCATTAATGAATTTCTTGCTTTTGTCCTATCAAAGACTTTGCCCTCAGGAGGGCCCTGGGAGCCACAGGCAGCCTTTCAACAGGAAGTTAGAGCTAAAATTCTTGACCTCTTCGGGTCCTTGGCACTCCCAGGACATTATTCAGTGGAAAATGAGATTATGTCCTTGGCCTGTGGGTCAGCTTCACGGGGCTGGGGCTATTTTAATCTCAGCAGCTCTAGAGGGCAGCCTGGTCTCTGGTGGGGGCTCAGGGCTTTCCCATCACCTTTAAAGCACTTACACTTGAAAGGCTCGATAAACTCAGGCCATTTGCATCAAGGCTTCCAGTTAAGAACTTCAAAGGCTATTGGAATTTTGAAAAAGAAAAAGTTCTATTCTCCAGGGTGCTGCTAAAAAGAGCAGCCCTGTAAATTCAGGGAGCTTGAGAGGGCCCAAGAAAGGCTTTAATTAGCAACCCTAAGCCCTATGGTCTATTTCCATAGACATGGGGATATTCTTCCCCTGAACACATCAGGCTCAGTTGCCCACACCAGAAATACATTCAGACCTTCTGAGCTTGCTCAGAGAGGGTAACAGATGATTTGTTCTGAGCCAGGTTGAGTGGCCATAGCCAGGGAATGGACATTCAGCTCACTCTACATTCTATATTCCAAGGCAGAAGTCACTTGGGTACTTTTGCAATCTTAGAACAAAACAAAAGTCACAGAGCATTTATTAAAATATTTTAGGTTTACTTTTTGTGTTCTGTGTTTCTGTGTGTGGGTATGAGCACATGATCTCCCTTTCTCTCTCTCTCTCTCTCTCTCTCTCTCACACACACACACACACACACACACACACACACACACACATCCCCTGTGCTCTGCTTGCAGGAGGCCAGAGGCGACTGAAGCCTCCTCAGTGAGAGCAGTGTGCACTGTTAAACACTACGCACTGGAAGTGATCTCATTTACCAACCATGGTGGGTATGGCAGGAGACAGGAAAAGGGGGAGCCCCACCACAGGCTCCAGCTACACCTGATGATATTCTTAGCTCCTGGATTGGTGAAAGCTGCTGGCCTGTTGAGTTAATGAATCTTGAAGGTTTTACTTGGTAATCAAGGACATTATGTCAAACAGAGAAGGTGGGCTCTAAGTGGCTAGTAAGGGAACTGCTTATAGCCCAAGATATCCTGGTCCTGGATCTGTAACATTCTATCACCCCATAACCAGAGAAGTCCTAATCAGTCAAACGTCATTGTAGAAGCCTTCAGGCAGGTATGCCTTTTTTATTTTCTGTACACTTCAGCTCTCAGTAACTGTGATGTGCCCAGTGTCCTCCCTTGTAGGGTTCCACTATACCATGAAAATGAGTTTTTCTACTTTGAAAAAAAAAAAAAAACAACTCGCAAGTTTTCCTATTATATTCTTTCAAAAGTTTAAAGTACAAATTACTTCTCTATTTTATGTATGTGGGTGCTTGTGGGTGGCAGCATGTGTATGGAAGTATAGGCACAGAGATGCAACTGTTATCTTCAAGACGGTAAGAGATTATTGGAGCCAAGTCTGAATGAACATGTCCTGGCAACAACAATTTAGATTACTCCAAATTCTGTGCTACAACATGGTAGCAATTTGCTAAAGTTTTTATACTAAGAAAAGAAAAATCATAACTCAAGGCACTTCTGAAATAAATTGGCAGAAAGATTAAGTGGGCAAAATAGAGCAGTAGGGGTTCACAGTATAGGGGTATGGGTCACAGCAGTAGGGGTGTGGGTCAGAAGATCAGGGGTGTGGGTCACAGGATAGGGGTGTGGGTCACAGGATAGGGGTGTGGGTCACAGGATAGGGGTGTGGGTCACAGGATAGGGGTGGGGGTCACAGGATAGGGGTGTGGATCACAGCCTATCTGACCTAATACCTTTCAAGTGAAACGTTGATCCAATGAGGGCAGCCAAAGGCAGAATGATAATGTCACATCGTTTCTGAAATCCCTACAAGTGTTTCTTGCCACTTTTAAACACTTCTATTTCACTTGCATTGTGTCCTGGTTGGATACTTTTGTTAACTTGACACAACCAGAATTATCTGGGAAGAGGAATGTCTACTGAGAAATGACTTCCTTAAATTGTCTGTGGGCAAGTCTATAGGGTCTTTTCTTGATTCCGGATGGATGTGGGAAGGCCTAACCTAGTGTGGGCGGTATTGCTCGTGATCCTGGTTTGTATAAGAAAGCAAGCTGAGCAAGCCAGGATGAGTAAGCTAGTATACAGCATCCCTCTGTGGGCTCTGCTGCCAGGTCCTTGCCTTGAGTTCCTACCTTGGTCTTGATCTGCCACAAACAACATTTAAGACAAATAAACTCTTTCCTCTCCAAATTGCTTTTGGTCAGTGTTTATCAGAGCAAATATAAACACTCTCTAAGACACCATGTTTCAGTATATTTTTAAGTCGTGAGAAATTGTAGCACTGTACCAGTGTTATTGACAAGACTAACTTATATCCAGCTTAAACTTTAATATGAATATGAAATGTTGCAAGGCTACTTCAGGTAAATTCTATGTTTCAAATGCCATTGACTTATGAAACAAACTTTACTTTCTCAGTTTTAGTCTATTTTAGCATAAAATAGGCATACATGAGCTGATAATGATGCTATTGAATTTTGAAAGTGATCAGGCACAAAACGTTCAAAGTAATGTTTTGTTCGGTGAGAAGCACAATGCCTGTGAGGAATTACAAGGGGAGATAATGAAGGCAGTATGAAGAGAGGCACCTTTTATTCACCCTCCTGAAAACTCCCCCTGGGCCCAGCTGCACTCCTCTCGAGGCAGCTTCCAGAACCACAGACAACTGTGCAATTCATCTGTTACTTAAGTAGCCTCTAAACACTGCAAGATGACCCTAGTGAGGAGGAGTGAAACAAATCTCTTATGGTTTTAAGAAGCCTTGGGGAGCCATGTGGTCCTCCAAATAGATTCAAAGTATTGTCTAAACTGGTAGGGTTTGTGCCAAAAATCAACAAAACAGAAACAAAAGCAAACACTGCCAACAACAGAGAGACTGGGAATCAAATTCATGTTCCTCAGGTTTGTACCTAAAGTTCTTTGCTTATTGACTGAGGAGCCCTCTCTCTCTCCCTACCTCGTTTTCTGCCATAGCTTGTTGTCTTCCCTACTCCCACTTGTTCCCCTTCATCTTTTTCTCCTTTCAGACAATGCCACCTCTAACATTGTTTTCCTATCCTTCTTCTCAAAAGAAAAACTAAGTAATAAATTTAAAACTAACCTAAATAAATTCTTAGCAAAAATCATACTGTTGACAGCTGTTAGTAAAAGGACTACAATGCCTAACCCATTTAAAACCTCACAGAATCTTACACAACTATTATTAGCTGAAATAGCTGTTTAGCAACTTTCCACTGCTGTACCCAGTTCATGAACCCCAAAAAGACCAGAAATAGACGCAGCTGTAAATACATGAATTTTGAATTGCATACACTTTGAACACAGAACACAAATTTACTGTGGAAACAGGAGAGGAATGCAGCCCCCTTGGTTTAGGGGAGCATGATTTTTATGGGGCAAAACAGCAACCAGGGACTTACATGTTTTGGTGTTACACGCTTGCATAGGGGAGACTGACTTTTGAAATGATTGGTCCACCTTAGGCACCAAGACTACAAACAGTTCTGGACTGGTCATATGGGTCGGTTTCCTAGCAACTGTATAATTAATGGGCAGGAAAGAGTGCAGTAAAGCTAGTTCTTCCCCTCAGGGCATTAAGGCCAGTTCTTCCCTTTAGGTACATATCTCCACTAGGCTGGCCCTAGTTCAGACTTGTGCTTCAAACTTCAAAATAATACCCATTGATTCTTAATTCTTCCATTTCTGACCACCACCTGCTCTCTATCAGCAATTTTTTAGGTTTCCTAAGAACCTAAATTCATTTCAACCTTCTCTGAAAAAGTTACAGCCAATAAACCCTTCTGGACCAGATAATATGAGAAGCAGAGTACAGGAACACCAAGGACTGGAATTCAGCCTCCATAAACAGAGCAGGGAGAGTAAAAATAATTGTTATTGTAAGTATTGGGTTTTGACATAGAAGCTATTCAGTGAACATGTTTGTGCATTTTCACTGGATACTTGTTGCAAAAGATCTGATTGTTGATTTCTGTTTATACTGCTCTGTGGGACTCTCCAAAGAATTGTATGACATAAGCAGCTGGCCATGTGAAACACAGAAGGAAGAGTGTTTCTTAGTCAGGGTTTTATTGCTGTGAGGAAAAACTATGACCATCACAACTCTTACAAAGGCGTTCATTTAAGTGGGAATTCCTTACAGTTCAGAAGCTTAGCCCATTATCATCATAGTAGGAAGCATGGTGCTGTGAAGGTGGCTATGGCACTAGAGTGGGAGCTGTGAGCTCTACATCTGGATCTTC